GCAGTTAGCGTAATGGCTATGTCGCTGGACTCCCACGTAGTCGACTGCGGTTTGTGTCCCGGACCCGGTGGCTTAGAACTCACGCTGGGCATGTGTGCATGCATGCCCAAGATCTCGAGAGGAGAATGGAGGAGAAGGGATTGCGGCGTGACCATCCCCCTTGGGGGGTGATTTCTTGCTTTCTGTCTCTCTGTCTCTCTCTGTGTGTCTGGCGAGCACACGCGCCCTATACTGAAAACCTCTCCCAAAAAGAAAAAATAAATAAATAAATAAAGGTTTGAGCAGAAATAAATGAAATAGAAAATAAATGAACCATACAGAAAATTAATGAAAGCGAATGCTGGTTCTTTGGAAAGATTAACAAGATCAACACACTATTGGCTAGACTGGTCAAGAAGAAGGAAGAAAGAAACCAGAAAAATCAAATACATGATGAAACAGGCAATATTACAACAGATATAGTAGAAATACAAAATATCATTAGAGGATACTATGAGCGACTATATGCCAAAAAAAAACAAGAGAACTTGGAGGAGATGGAGAAATTCCTGGATGCATATAATCTACCAAAATTGAAGCAGGAGGACATAGAAAACCTGAATAGACTCATAACAAGCCAGGAGATTGAATCACTAATAAATAACCTCATGACAAAGAAAAGCCCAGGTCTGGGACCAGCAGTTAGTGTAATGGCTATGTTGCTGAACTTCCACATACCCAATCACTGTTCTAGTCCCAGACCTGGTCACTTAAATCCATGCCTGGCACATGTGTATGTGTGCCCAAGATCCCAGGGGGAGAATGGAAGGAAAGGGATTACAGAATGACCATTCCCCCCACCCAGAGGGTGATTTCTCACTTTCTTATTGTCTCTGTCTCTGTCTCTCTCTCTGGGAAGCTCACATGCCCTCAGGCAAAAACTTCTTTTTTTTTTTCTTTAAAGAGGTGAAATCTAGAACCAGACAGGGTTAATAATGCTAGTTCTGGGCCAGCAGGTGGTGTAGAGGTTAAGCTGCTGGATCCCACATGGCTGAATGTGGTTTGAGTTGTGACTCGGCTGCTTTAACATCACACTGGGTGTGTGCCCAGAGTCCCTAGAGGGGACCAGCAGAGAAGGGATGGTGGCATAGTCATCCCTCTTTGGGGGTACCCTCTCGTCACCCCCCATCTCTCTCTGACAAGTGCACGCACCCAATAGCAACAACATCATCAGTGCTGAATCCAGTCCTACTACGTACTATTACTGCAGTAGCCGCGGGGCCTTGGGAAAACCTACCTCACGTCTCTGGACACATTTCCTTCAGATGCAGAACACAGATAATAATAGCTGATGGCGTCTGCCTCGTGGTACAGGCGTGATTGTAAATATGTGGATGCATACGAAGGATTTAGAACAGAGGACACCAATCTGTGTTCTATCGAAAACAAATTTCATACTTTCCCTAGTGTGTCAAAAGTTTGCAGCAGAGAAGTTGACGTTTCTTTGAAAAACTCATCAGGCTAGTGATAGAAGCCTTTATGCTATATAGTTATTGATATGGGAAGAAGGGGCATTTGTCATTACAAAGTAAATTATCGATAATATTCAAGTCATTCTGTCATTTGCAGAAGGCAACCCAGCTTACTGTATTTTATTATCTTTTAATACAAAAACATTGAGTGCACACTACTGGTCATTCCACAGAGGGGGGATGCAGCCAGCCAGGGCCAGGGGAGCGACCTCAGGTGGAAGGGAGGCTGTGTCCACCACGCGAATGTCTGCTTCTGAGAAAGCCACCCAGCTCTGAGAGCGGACCTCAGCCATTTCCACTGTACTTTGAAAGTCCTCTTGAGTCTTTCCTGTTAGTGGTAGCCATTCTCAAAAGCCATCCAAGAGCACCCAGAAAAGACATTGCGAGAGAAAGTTCTGGTGTGGGAGGAAGTGAGAGAGAGGATTCCGAAAGTGCTTACACAGAGTACATGAGAGGCCTTGTTTTCTCACTAGCTGGAATTAACCAGGGTCCTGAATACTCTCATTGCCACTTTAGGCGCATTTTCAGATCAGAGGGTATTTGTCTCGTCTGTTGAGGTGGAAGAAAACGCTTGATGCCATGTTAGCATCAATGTGGAACAATCCTTTTTATTAAGTTGGGCAGCGTCTAGTAGAAAGTGTCCAGTACAGTGAGATTCCTTGGAGAATCTTGCTCAGAGTCCCTGTCTGTATTGAAACAGCTCCCCCGGAGTTACGTCTTCCACCCTGCTTACCTGAAAGGGAGGAAGGCTGAGAGGGGAGAAGGAAAAATGAGAGAAAAGAGGGAGAGGGGGGAAAAAAAGAAAAAAAAA